AATTGTTGAACGGAAAAAGAAAAAAAGGGTGGAGAGCGAGCTCGAGCGTGATGGGGTCTTGTTCTAGCTCGCGCACTAATATGGGCCTAGCTTTAGTACATGTGCACCTCGCATGTGCCTAGGCTACACTACAAAACAAAGCAATTAGCGATGGAATATTTCATCGTTGATTGAGGAAATTCCATCGCTAATCTGCTAATTTTCGTTGTTAATTTGCTTCTCGGTAACTTTTTACGACGAAAAATTCATTCCGTCGTAACGTTTAGCAATGAACATTCTATCGCTAATCGGGAAAAAATGCGTCGCTAAGCTTGTTGTGGGATATGTCGTTTCTTCGTAGCTATTTCATCCTTATTTCCATCACTAAACAATAACATAAAATTCATCACTAATACCCATCGCTAAATTTGAAAAATGAATTTATTGCTAGTCCGTCTCTATTTCGTCATTAGTTTTGAAATGAATTTATCGCTAGTCCGACACTCGGTCCATCGCTAAATTTGAAAATGAGTTTTTTTGCTATTCCGTCGTTATTTCATCGCTAATTTTGAAAATGAATTTATCACTATTCCATTGCTAATTTTATTTTATTTTTAATAATTTTTTAATTATTAATATTGTATTTAATAATTAACAATTATAAGTAACAATTTATAAATTAAAAATGAAATAGTATTAACAATACCATTCTAAAGTATGTTTCATAAAAATAAAAAAAACAAAGTGACTAAATGCCCTATCACTTATCCTCGCTCATCTAATCCCATATCCTCCTCCCGATACTGTGTGGAGGGCTCGATGAAAGGATCGACTAGAGACTGAATGGGAGGTTGTGTGGAAGAAATAGTAGACTATTAAATGATCGATGGATCTATAGGTACCCACGATGTTTGTGCCGACCTCATCACTAAGGATGCCATCGAGTCATACTAAGATTTCGGACTATAAATAGTCGATGCTGCTTTGAGATCCGGCTTTGGAGCTCGTTTTGTATCACTTGCATCCTCTTTATCGCTTCCTTCGTAGCCTCGTAGTGCCTTTGAAGCTCTTTGTTCGTCGGGTTGCTAGCGTAATGCGACATTGTAGAGGAGAAGTCTGCTACCACTTGACTAGGACGGATAATGCACCGATCGTGTGCCTATATCATAAAATCTTTTCTTTTTTTCTTCCTAACAACCTCGAGGTATATGGCATTCTCGTCAACTTTTGACTTCATAATTCCTGCCGCCGTCTAAGCCGTAACTACCTCATTGATGAGTTGCTCTACATGGTCTTGCGTAATCAAAATAATAATATCATCATTACGGTATTAAAATAAAAATTGAATTATCTTTTCATATTTAATATTTTAATTGAAAAACACTTACCATTGTTTGCGAGGAGCACGGATTGACGAATGACCCATCTCGTCGCTTGTGAGTCTTCTTGAATAACTCAAAACTTGTTGGTTGACGATCCAATTTTATCGCCCGAAAAAAATCCATTACAAACAACATGAGAAGAAAATTGAAATTTTATGAAATAAGTAAATAATAATAAAGAGTCTAAAATTTACCAAGCGACGGGTGTGATCTTTTGAAGATATGAAGCCCTCTATATGCTTGGAAGGACTCGCACTAAGACCATCGGTCTTCGACAATCGGTTTTGTGAAGCTTGCTCTAAACTAAATCAATTAGGCATTCATTGATCAATTACATGCATAAACTCCAAATTGGATCTTATCGAGCCTAAACCCTAATTTAGGTAACTTAAGCTAAATTTTCAATTTAAATGTGATTTCTCATTCTAACTCATCTAATTACATTATCATTTTCACTTAAAATACATGAAGTTTTATATATTTTGAAGCTAAAAACATTCAATTACATTATCATTTAATTAATTTAATAATATATTCAACTAAATTTAATTTAATTAAACCTAAATAAAATATTTATTAAATTCTATTAATTAATAAAATATTTATTAAATTTTAACGTTCATATTTATTTTCCAATTACATTTTTTTCCATTTTTTTTATTTTCGAAATGATTAAATCATTTTAGATGAATCAAATCAATTACATTAAATTAATTTAAACTAATTAAGCTAGTAATTAATTCAAACAAAACACAATATCACAAAATAATAACAAATTAATTAAAAAAAACAAACCAACCAACAGATCCAAAAAATCTTAAAATAATCAACAAAATTTAACTAAAGTACATAAAAAAATTACATACTTTCAAAATTAAGTTAAACAAACAAACAACTAAATTAACCTAATAATTATCATAATTAATTAATTTAAAATGATAATTAAAGATTACATAATTACATTTTAACTCGACAATTAAAAAATTAACATAATTAAATTTTTTTAGCTTTATGTTAACCTAAAACTTAACCTCATAATTAACATAACTAAAAAATAAAACTTAACAAAATTAGTCTAACACTTATGAAATTAAATAACAATTAAGAAATGTACACTAGTATATATAACTTAACATAACTAAAAATTAACATAACAAAAAATTAACAATATTCACATAATTAATTAACTAACAAATAACAAAATTTATCTAAAAATTTATAAAATTTATTTAACTTACAAAAAAATCATGAGTTAGAGAGAGAAATTTTTACCCGAGAGATTAAGGAGAGAGAGCACAAATTTGGTCTAAATTTGAGAGAGAAAAGATGCACCTCACTTTGTTGAACGGTTTGGGAAATCACTTGATGGTGTTCGGACGACGTCGGTAGTGGTTTTATGGCCAACGAGGAAAATTTTGGTGGAGGGGAGAGGAGTCGAATGGGGGAAGAAGAAGGGGAGAGGGGTATATATAAGGTAATTAGTGACGGAAGCTAATCCGTCACTAATCCCTGTTGATTAGTGACGATTCTCAACCGTTGCTAATTTTGAGAATTTGGGAGGAAATTTCACCCCAAAATCCCTCAAACCGGTCCATCAATAAGTTAATAGCTAAAATTTAGTGACGGATTGGTAATCCGTTGCTACTTTGGATCCCAAATACTTTAGCGATAGAAATCGGTGACTATTCTATCATTAAACCCGGTGATTTTTTTTTCCATGTTAGTTTGTGACAACTTAGGTATAAAATTTTATCCGTCGCTTATTTTTCCTCATTATTCAATCGCTAAGTAGTCACAAAAATCAAAATTTTCTCGTTGGCCGCTAACCCGTCGTTAATGCATCTCTAATTAGAGACGGAATTTTATCCGTCGCTAATTGCCAATTTTCTTGTAGTGCTAGTTTTCAAGCTCGAGCATGCCGAGTCCTAAAAATAGGGTCCGTAATTTTCGAAAAGATTATGACTAATTAGAAGGTCAAGCTCGGATTTTTCAACTTCTCCAAACCTAATTTCAATCATATTTTTGCTAAAAACGCCTCAAAATCACAAAATAACATAAAAAAAACTCGTTTTCAACCTCAAAATTCATTTTAATATATACAAAAATTCAAATAAAAAAAAAACTCAAAACGTTTCAGCTTTCGGTCTACCTCCTCCTATCATTTCATGGTTTGTGATCACGACAAACGAACTCTCTCTTCGGTTCTCTCTCCTCCAAGTCGAAGTCGCTTGGAACTAAAATGAAACACAAATGAAGTTCAAAATTGCTACTTTTCTTGAAAACATGAGGGACTAGATGGAACATTTTGGTAAACTTAGTTTGAAAGAGCGAAATATATCGTGCAAGTGAGTGAACAATGTGAGTGAACAGAGAGAATGAGTGTGTGTAAACATAAGATGAATTTTAATACACAAAAAAATTCAAATAAAAAAAAACTCAAAATATTTCGGGTTTTTGATCTACCTTCTCTTATCACTTCATGGTTTGTGACTGCCACAAATGAACTCTCTCTTCGATTCTCTTTCCTACAAGTTGTTAGGGACCTAAATGAAATATAAATAAAGTTCGAGATCGATGGTTTTTTCTTAAAAACATGAGTACCAGAATGAAAAAGTTTGGCAAACTTGGCTGGAAAGAGTGAAATGCACTGTGCAAGTGAGTGAATAGCGCGAGTGAATAATAAGGATAAGTGTACGTGAACACAGGACAAGAATAGTAACAAACTTATTTGTTTTAGTATTTTTGTAATTCTCGTTTCCTAAAAATATGAATTAAGTAGCTCATAAAAATATATGAGTTTTTTCTCCTATATAAATTCTGTATTCTTTGAATCTTTTTTATTATTGAAATCTTTTATTTTATAAATCTTGATTGATACTCTATTTTTCAAAAAAAAAATTTTTACTTAAAATTTTTCATTACATATTATTTTTTTTTAAGTTGACGTGGTATTTTGTTATTAGATTTTATTTATTAGTAATTGATACGAGACATTGTAGATTCAACACACCAATAAATTCGTCTGAATTAAAAAAAAGATTAAAACTCATTTTAATAATAAAATAATAAAAAAAACGAAGATGAAAACACCAAAATCGCTCGCCCACAATTATTTATCAACCCAATTCTGAATTTTGGATTTTTCTCGTTCTCTCTCTCTCTTCTCAATATATCGTAAATTTATATTTTGTTATGTTGTCAGTTATTTGATACATATTGAGCCGTGTCTAACACGTGCCCCTTATGAATACAGAGGACCTTTTTGAAGTGTCCATGCCTAGGACTTCATCTTATAAGGCCAGATACATTGAGGATGTAATTGAAATAATAGATAGTTTAGAGACTGTATTGAGAATCAATTTATAGTTATGGAATTATTTGTGGTTTGCCATTTTTATCCCTACTACGGTACCAAACTAAATCATTCCTTGAAACGGCCAAATGCTCACCCATGCAAGTCTTCCAAAAATCCAATCAAACCTTAGCTAACAAAGGTTTTAATATTCAGAAGCAAACCACAATTTGCTTTATCTGAGTCATACATTGATGCATATGCAATAATCATTCCATTTTTCCACAGCCACGCTGTAACAAGCACCCACTCTCTGTCTCTCTTTGTCAAAGAAAAACACCATTAGGATGGAGAGAACTGAAGGAGAGATTGCAACAAAAAATGGCAATTTGGAAGAGAGCTCAGGCACTAAAGATGGTTCAATTTCTGGGTATGAGTCCCTTCACCACCTCCTAAGTGTCAATCTCAAGCCTCATCTATACAAGGTAATTTTTTTTTCCTTTTTTTTAATCTCTTTTTTGTGTTTTCTTATTGAAGTTTGAGCAAATTCTGATGGACTTTATGTAGTTTACTGATTAATCTATCTGGGGTGTTTATATCCTGTGTGGATTAGAAAAATTTGTTGGGTTAAAAAATATCTCATCTTTCCTTGTTTTTTTTTTTTTTTTTTTTTTTCAGAACTGTTTATTTGACTGTTTAACTGAGTCTATTACTGCAAAGATTGAAACTTTATGGCTGCAGAAGGGACTCTACCTCTTTTGCTGGAGAGGGGCTAAATTTTGTCGCTTATGTGATTGTCAATGTTATGATTGTATGGGGTTTGATTACATTTGAATTTCATGTTGGTTAACTGCACAATTGTAAGAAACTTGTGAATCGTGTAAGGTTGACTAAAAGATCTTACGATGTTTGATATATGTGTTTCAGGAAGTCAGTCGCTTGCTTATTGGACTGAATTGCGGAAAACCTCTGGAGCTTATTGCTCTCCCGGAATCTGCAAAAGCTCTCTCTTCGAAACATGACTTTGACCTCCAGGTAGGTGCTTGTCTGAACTATTTTTATAGAAGTTTGAAACACGATTTACGAGGCGTCATAATGGATGATTTAGTTTATGGTCTAAGCAATAGTGCTAGAGATGGCCGTGATAGGATTTTTGACCGAGCACTTTGTTTAGGCCTCACTTCTTTGGATGGATCATTGCTGAATGATTGAACTATCAATCATGTTTCTTCCCTTTCTATGATGAGATCTTTAAGTCTGTGATGCTAGGTAATTAATTTTTCTGAAACTTTTATCATTAAATTTTCAGGCCTTTTCCTTTGATGCTGACAAGGAGTTGTTGAGAGAACCTCGAGTGGTCAGGGTGGGTCTCATTCAGAACTCTGTAGCTCTTCCAACAACTGCCCCCTTATTGGACCAGAAAAGAGCTATCTTTCAGAAATTGAAGCCAATCATTGATTCAGCAGGTGCTTCAGGAGTGAACATATTATGCTTGCAGGTAAGTTGACACATGAGGTTTAGACCAATTTCAATGATATTATCCATTGCATTCTGAAAGCCATGAAGTGATTTCTCATATAATCTTTATTCAGGAAGCATGGATGATGCCATTTGCATTTTGTACCCGGGAGAAGAGGTGGTGTGAATTTGCGGAGCCTGTTGATGGGGAATCAACACAGTTTCTTCAGGAATATGCGCGAAAATACAACATGGTAATCATAAGTCCAATTCTCGAGAGAGATGTTAATCACGGAGAGACTCTCTGGAACACTGCTATTATAATTGGAAACCGTGGAAACATAATTGGCAAGCATCGGAAGGTAAATCTCATGTATTTGTTCTGTGTTATATTGTTCTTGCCATTCTTTTTCAAAATGTAATGATTTTGCATTTGACAGAACCATATACCTAGAGTCGGTGATTTCAATGAAAGCACGTATTACATGGAAGGAAATACTGGGCATCCTGTGTTTGAGACGGCTTATGGAAAGATTGCTGTTAATATATGTTATGGGAGGCACCATCCATTGAATTGGCTAGCATTTGGCCTGAATGGTGCAGAGATTGTTTTCAATCCTTCTGCAACTGTTGGTGAACTCAGCGAGCCAATGTGGCCTATTGAGGTGAATACTACTTCTTTGCTGTGATTCATGCCTAGAATGTGTGTGATAGCTTTGAGTTTTGGTTCTTGTTGGACAAATTGAACTTCCAATGAGCTTTGGTGCTCTGTACTATGTGATAGAATTATATAAAATTTGGCATTGCCTCATGCCTAGCCTTGGCATAGAGATAGTCACTACCAAATGATTCCTCTACAAGATTTTTGAGCAATAAATCCCACCATGTTGGTAGATTTTTAGGTAGGCTGTAGCCATGAAGTCAGCCATTTATTGTACAAAATTGGTGTGTGCTAGAACCCCTAAACTAATGTTTTTCTTTTTCTTTTTCTTCTTCATTTTGAATGTTTTTTTTTCCTTTCTTTCTATCTCTCTTGGGTGAATTCCCTATGCCAGTTATTCTTAGTAAAAATGCACGTATTGCTTATCACTGGTCAATGACATATTACTGATGGTTTTACAGGCCCGTAACGCTGCAATAGCAAACAGCTACTTTGTTGGGTCAATCAATCGTGTTGGAACTGAGGTATTCCCTAATCCATTTACTTCGGGTGATGGGAAACCACAACATGCAGATTTTGGGCATTTCTACGGGTCTAGTCATTTTTCAGCTCCAGATGCTTCTTGCACGCCCTCCCTCTCCCGTTACAAGGATGGATTATTGATCTCAGACATGGATCTAAACCTCTGTAGACAGCTGAAAGACAAGTGGGGATTTCGAATGACTGCTCGGTATGAGTTATATGCTGACATGCTTGCCCGCTACATGAAGCCAGACTTCGAGCCCCAAGTCATATCTGATCCGTTGTTACATAAGAAGTCTCTGTAACTCAGGAGTTGATCAAACTTGCAATCTGTGAAAAATAAGAGTTAAAGCTAGATGGTATCTTGAATCATCTTCTGAAATAAGTTGGTACTTGTAGTGAGTTCATGTTTGTAAATATTCATTCAAACACCATTTATCTGTTGATGAAGCTAAGGACACAGTGACAATAAAGGACATTGAATGAACCTTTCGGGACTGTGAATAGACAGACAATCAAAAGGTTTGGAATTATGGGGGGAAAGAATAAAAACGAATCACTTCATTGTTGACTGGTGCTTTCAATTCTAATGATCTCTTCTCTTGCCCTTTGAAGCATCTAAATATGTAAGTTTCACAATGGTAAAAAAGTTCTCTGCCTTGTATGGATCAACGTTATTACATTTATGAGAATTCAACGTTGGTTGGCTTTGTATTCTAAAATAATATTTGCTTGGCATATCCTTGTACCAATCAACCTTTTCTTTTCCTAGTTTAGTGTCATGTTAGGTGAAAGATTTTCATAATGTTTCTGTCAATTTTTTTGTTTCAAAAAGTCAATATATTTGTGCGTCGAGATCAAATTAATCAGTTGGATTTTAGCAAATCATCCACATCTATTTACGAAAAAAATCATTATAATCTTCTTTTCGATTGTAAAAATAAATTTATTTTATTATTATGTTAATATAATCACATTTCTGTCGATGTAATCGTTATTTTGTTATCACACTAAACATAACACATAATTACAATCGTAACTTACAAATTTGATCATTTTTACAATACACCAAACATATATTATTGCTGTACTCAAATAATCTAATTCTTAAAATTGATGTTAAGGCTAGACATGAGTGTTAATATCAATGTAAAAGCTGATCCCAAGATATTCCACATATATATATATACGAGGGCCAAAATTAGGCAAAAACAAGAAAAGGCTGAGGAAGAAAAAATGATGCTGATGATGCTTATCTAAAACTAGTCCACAGCCATTTAAACAGCTCCAACACCGCACCCACCATCTCCTCTCCTCTCCTCTCCTCTCACCACCACTCTCTCTCTCTCTCTCTCTCTCTATCTCTCTAATGGCTTCAATTTCGCTACCATCTCCACACAAACTCACCTTCACTGCAAGGAAAAGACTTCCATACCCTTCACCAAAACCTCAATTCCCTTCTCACTACCCTCTCTCTAGGCTTCTGTCTGATTCCACTCTCTGTCGCTGCTCTTCCTCCTCGAATAATCCTTCGATTCAATGGCGATGGGATGCTGCCTTGCAAGCTGTGGTTAAGAATGCGATGAAGAGGTTCGATTCGTATATGAATTCGATCAAGAAAGAAGAGAAAAATGAAGTTGGTAACAAAAGGGATTTTGAGGGAGAAAGTGGGGAGGAGGGAGAAGATGATAATGGTGAAATTGAGTGGGATTGGGATCGTTGGAGGTTGCATTTTGATCAAGTTGATGAACAAGAACGTCTTTTTTCGCTTTTGAAGGTAAAATTAATTTCAATCACTTCGATTTTTTTTTTTTGGTGGATTGTGGTTGAGAAGTGTGAAAAGATGGGAATTTCAGAGTGGAAAGTTAATCTTGTTGGGTATTTGGAAATATTTTATTTTGAGAGGCTATTTTTTCAGTTTGAAATCATTAATCTTTCTGGCTAATTGTTTATTTTTTTTATTGGAAAGATTGAAACTTTTTGTTCGTTATTTTTTAATTACTTAGTTGTATTGGATGTCTGAAAAGATGGGGATTTCAGGGTGGAAAGTCTTTATTATTATTAACTATGATTTGTTGGCGCTGTGTGTGTGTGGTTATGCATGTCTTATTGTTTTTTCGGTGTGAATATGGTTGAGAAGTGTGAAATGATGGGAAATTTGGGCTTAGGAAGTGAAGCATTAATTATTTTTCGGCTTTATAGTTTATTTTTTTGAATTGGGAAAATTTAAACTTCGTATTCAACTGGGTTTTGAAATTAATTTTTCAATGGCTTGTTATATTGCATGTTTGCGTGTGCTGTTGTTTTTATTGGTGTGAATTGTGTTTGGAAATAGTGAAAAGAAGGGAGATTTGAGACTGGAAAGTCCAGCTTGTTGGATTCTGGGGATTTTATGCTTGCTGGAAAAGTTGGTGCCTTATGCTTTTCTTGGAATTTATCAGAAAGCATCGATACTGCACAAATAATTAATGTATTTGTTTCAAATTTGAAAGGTTGAAACATAGAACTGAATACAACATTTTTTTGAAGTTTCTATAATCCAAATGGAAATATTTTTATTGGCAATTTTTTAAAAATAAATTGACAGTAGTTTTATTGATTTGTGTGATTAGCGAAGCAAAATGGGATGGAGGAGGGAGTGCAACTTTATATGGATTAGGGGTTTTCTTTTAAATGCTGAAACGTCTCTCCTCCTCTTTCCCTCTCTTGCAGTTGCAGTTAGGCAATGCTGTAAGCAGAGAGGATTATGAAGATGCTGCTAGGCTTAAAGTGGCAATTGCAGCTGCAGCTACAAATGATCCTGTTGGCAGAGTGATGTCGCAGCTGAATGTGTGTAACTTGACTTGCAAGTCTGGTTTTACCTAAGTAGCAAACTGCTGAAATTTCTTCTTCTAACCAGTCTTTTTTTTTTTTCGGCTGATTCAGAGAGCATTAGCACTAGAGCGTTACCTGGAGGCAGCTTTCTTACGAGATAATGCTGGTGCTGGATTGGTAAGTTTGACAGAAATTCTTTGTTACTTAATGAATTGGACATGCAATTTCCAATTTATGCAATATGTTCATTTTTGTAAATGCAATAACTGCTGCAAGCTCGTATTATGTCATATCCAATTCATTCTGCATGCTGTCGCTGCCCATTGCATTGGGCTTTGTCTGGCTGCATAAAATTGCTGAATATTTTAGAGAACTTTGTGGGTGGACTAATTGCTTGATTGAGTGATATCTTCTTGTTTTTATTATTTCTCATTTTTTGTAGGTGTTGAGTGTTTGCTGCCTTAAGGGCAATTTTGCATAGTTTATAGGGTTCTTATTGTAACCTTTCACTTTTCTGGAAATATGTAGCAAAGCATTCTAAGTTTCTGTTTTGGATTTTCTACTTAGGCATTTAAATACGTAACCTTGTTGCTGCTTATTTAAGTCTCTGTTTCAAATTTTTATTTTTCCCTTGTGCTGGGTTCCTTCCAGGTGGGATGGTGGTCTGGAATTTCTGAAGATGCTGATGATCCTTATGGTCTGATTATAAGAATAACTGCAGAGCACGGAAGATATGTAGCAAGGAGTTATAGTCCCCGGTAATTATTCACTGCTTGTCAGAGGCTTTTACTTTTAATTTCATATTCTTCATATTGAACGTGAAAAGCCCAGCAGGCTTATTTTTGGCACTTATTGTTTTCACTAATGTATGTGGTATTTTTTATTCTTAAAAGAATATCTGTTAGTCTTCTATTATTAGTCTGGGTTTCTGAGTTTTTGTTAGCATGTATGTCTATAATTATCCGTATTGAGGAGGATTACTTTGTAAGCTTGTGGCTGGGCACTGTTTTAAAGCTTATCATGGTCCTGTTTTTTTGAGCCAGGTCAGGCATGCACCAGATTGGTTGAGGAGCATGTTCTCTTTCTCATACCCTGATGTAAAAATTCTTTTGGGGCATTTAGTTATGAGGTGACTGGATAACATGTTAATTGGAAACTGAATTTGAAAATTAAGCTTGCTTATCAACTTGAGAATAATAATCTAGGGCAATCAGCCTGAAAGGGATGAAATTGATGGTTTAGACAGTAATGATGCATGCCTTCTTAACAGCTTGTGTTACCTGAAACCTTATAATATGTTACTATTCTATCAAACAATATGCTATATGATGTATTGCAGCACTCTTTCGAGTTTAGGTGTTAAAGTATTATGTTCTAGTGCAATTGATTACTTTTGGTCTTTGGATATTGAGAGTGCATACAGATTTCCTTCTGTGGTTGCCGTTTTTATTTTAGTTGAAATATGTGGATTTTAAATGCCATATAATGCGGCTGATGCATGCATGTTGTTTAAAGCCTTTCTCATGTAGCAAGCCTATGACAAACCGTGCTGCTCTACATGCTTAGCTGCTTAATGTCAAACGTTCCTTACTTTGGAGGTTTATTTTATATTTTCTTTCAGACAGCTTGCTACAGCTGCAGTGGGGGTCCCCTTGTTTGAGATCTTTCTTACAATTAATAAGAAAGGTGAATACAAACAACAGGTATCCGCATTCTTCTCTTTTTTCTGTGTTGTGTACTTTGCTGCATGACTTTTGACTTGATGCTGGGAGGTTATTTTGATTACTAGTTCCCGACAAAATCTCATTGACCAAAATTGAAGAGTCAGACCCCAAAAAAGAAAAGAAATTATGCTTATTCTTGGTTTGGGGTCCACCCTTTATAATATATTATGATTAATGTTCTACATTGCAAAGCATTGGCTGGTTTCCTTCATTTTTGACATAATATTATAGTTGTTGATAACAATAATTTCGCACCTTTAGAGCTTAAAGTGGATCACCAGGGAGCTAATTTTTTGATTTGTTAAAAAAATTCCTTGGGTGCCATCTCTACCCCACAAGGCTTCCTGGCATTTAAATATGGCTAGCTAATGTGCATAAGTCATTATTTGCATGCTTGCTTTTTCAAGACCTACATACATCAGTGGATGCTTGCATGTAAGCAAAGATAGATGCTGCTTGATGATTTATGTGCATGTCTATAATTGTAGGTGCATTTGCCTGGGTGTTTGTTGTGCTTTTAAGTGTGGTTGTTGCAGTCACAGATCTAAATTCAGTGTGCAGGAACAGTTAGATAATAGTGTCTTATGGGGTTTGTGTAATTTTGTAGGCAGTGTATTTGAAAAAGAAAGGACTTGTCCAAGACCCTTCAACATTGCCCTCTAAAGCTTCGGGTGCCACAAGTCGCTTGAACCCATCAGGACCAACTGGAGATAAAAGTGACCTGTTTGTTGTGAGTACTGAAGAGGCAGATGATACTGATGACTCAGAAGATGGTTCCGATCTAGCTGAGGGACTGCCTGGCTTTCAGAACTTATTGAGAGATATGGTTCCTGGTGTGAAGGTCAAGGTTTTGAAAGTGACAACACCAGCAAAGGTGGACAGGGATTTTATATCTAAGGTGATAGAGCAAATAATTGATGAAGAAGATGATGAGAAGGATATTGAGTTAGAAAGTGAGGAAGCAGAAGATGGTAGCAAAAGTGAAAGTGACCAGGAAAGAGATGAAATTGAAATGGATGCTGGTCGTGGGATTATTGATGATGAAAATCAAAGTGAAATTGCAGTTAAAGTTGTTGTTGGGGGTCTTGCACAGAAACTTTCAGGCAGTGTCTCTGCAAAAGGCTCAATTAGAGTACCAGCTAAGCTAGAGAAAAAGGGATGCAAGTTATTTTCCTTTTCTATCGAGAAAGAAATCAACCAACAGAATGCCAGGGAACTGGCTTCAGCAGACAGAAAAGCTAAGCTTCGAGGTCAACGCAGTGTGGACCATGTAATGTTTGATCTATCCAAATTCATTGGTAGCGAGAAAATACCCTTGAAGGTTGGTTCAATGTCTAAGGTCATATCTTTCTATATCTTGAGTAGAAGGAGAACAATTTACCATTCACCTTTAATTGTTTGTTTTATTCTTCAACCGTGCAGGTGCTTAAAGACGTTGGCGAACTAATAAATCTTACCCTCAGTCAGGCTCAAAACCGTCAACCGCTGTCTGGATCAACAACTTTTCATCGAATTGAGATATCAACATCTCCAGATCCTTTAAATGGTGATTTGCTACACAGGCTGTTAAGTTTTGAGCAAATATGGCTCTAGGAGATGCTACTAAGTTTCAGCTTATCGTGCTCTTGTTTGTCATGGTTTATGAATCTTCTCAGTACTTTGTTATATTTGGTTCCCTAAGCCTACTTTGTGTCAAGTATTAATACTGTATTAAATTTGTCAGGACTATATATTGGTGCACATGGGCTGTACACCTCAGAAGTCATACAGCTGCAACGTAAATTGGGTCATTGGCAAGACGATCGTGGGACTAAGGAATCCTCCAATCTTGAGTTCTATGAATATGTGGAAGCTGTAAAATTAACTGGAGATCCTTATGTCCCCGCTGGACAGGTAACATCATTTGTTTCATATTTACATTGTGAGTCTTATCATTTGATTTGCCTTTTGAGTATGATTATGTATACAAAGCTTCCATTTTTTTTTTTGGGTTGTTGTTGTAATGTAGAATTTGTTGTATGACTTATCTGTTAACAATTTTCTTTGGCAAACCTTTTTCAGCACATAATGTTTACCAGTTTATTTGCTTACTTTTGCTAATTGTGAAGGTTTGACTTTCTGCTGCTTAGAAGCTTTGTAATCAAAGTATTGGCTTAATTGTTCCCATATAAAAAAAGAAGTCCTAGATTATTTGCAAGGCAAATTGTTTTGGTATCATTTTTGGTCTTACTAGATAATTTTATGGTCTTGTGGGCGTAGGTTTAGGAAAAATATGGTGGTTCACTTTATTGATACTAAACTTTGTGGGAACTATATGTTTATATTAAGGTTGTCTGCCTAGATCTTAGTAGCTGTGGTATTTTGATTCTTACAGGTCGCGTTTCGTGCTAAGGTTGGGAAAAGATATCAGCTTCCTCATAGAGGCATAATTCCTGAAGAATTTGGAGTGGTGTGTTGTTAGCTTGTGAAGTTTAGTTTATATAATCCATTTTTCTCTCTTTGCAAAGGCCTATGTGCCTCTTTTTCCCCATTAAATGTTGAAGCACTTATCAAGATCTTATTTGCAAATCAGATTGCTCGATATAAAGGACAAGGGAGGCTTGCTGAGCCAGGATTTAGGAATCCTCGATGGGTTGATGGTGAACTGGTTATTCTTGATGGAAAGGTGTTCATTCTTTTTTCTTTTTCTTTTTTTGCATCTGATATTTGTTTTATTATTATGATTATTTTTTAATTTGATTGCATGGAATGGAAGAAAAGGATCCACATAGCCAATCCCAACTAGTTTGGGATTGAGGCTTGGTTTTTGTTGTTTTTGTTTCATCAGATATGTGTTTTCCTTGTTCCATGCTTTTTTTCCCCTATATAGAATGTTCACTGTGACATTTTTCTTTTCTTTTTATTCTCATTCTTCTTTTTTTTTTTTTTTTTGGCAGTACATTAAAGGGGGGCCTGTTGTTGGATTTGTGTATTGGGCTCCTGAATATCACTTCTTGGTGTTCTTCAATCGCCTGAGGCTTCAACAGTAGATGCTTGTGTACATTATAGTTGAGCTTGTCTATTCTTCTTCATATTTGTTTGGGTAAGTTTTTCCTTGTTAAAATAGGTAATTGAAATCTTAACAAATCTGCCATAGGATACACAATTAGTTTTAGTTTTGTTCTCTTTTTAATGGGCCAGATTGGATTACTGGTTTTGATCTTACTGCCTAGCATTTTGCTTCTGCATGCTATTGTCGTCCCTTGTTATGATTGATAAGTTATCATCTACAACCAATGACATCGTTCTTTATTACTACTTTTCATATGCCCTAAGATAAATACTGGAGTCTAGTGGCAATTGAATTGGGATAATCTATGGCAAACTGATTACTCTGCAGGAACATTGTGCTGTCCTATGTTGCATGCATGAGAAGCCATATCGCAAATGCCTAGTCTGTTGCATGTGATCTATTGTTGACTCAACTAACTCACCTAAATTAGCTTCTCTTCCCTTTTCAACAAGTGTTTCCATGTTTAACAGTCATTTGACGAAGACAAAAATATAACATTTTGTTTCTTTGGAGATCTGCACTAATAGAATTAATTGTTGAAATGTCATTCCTTTTAATTTATAAAAGGTTGAACTTGTCACCGGATGTTCCATAACACTTTCTGAATGTAGTAATCTCTAATAAAGCTTTTGTTGATCTTTCTTATTTCGCAGTGCATTTTGCAACCTGCATGTTCTCGGCCTTGGGCAGGCCTGGAGGCTTAGAAATCTTCCTGCATCCATTGCACAATCAACTGACTACTGCACTTGTAAACCCAGAAAGCTTGGAGATGTGGTAGATGCTCAGCTTTTTTCACTGCATGATTTTGCAGTCCCCCCACCCCCACCTCCTTCCTTCAGCTCATTATGCCTGTGCCAATTTTGTTATACTACCAATCAATTTGAAAGTAGTATTTAGCACTCGTCTTAATTATGATAATACTGCTTTAGTAATGATGTTGATATGTGAAAATACCAGATGCAGAGACTAGTGTATTCAAGGCTTGGGGATGGCTTATTTTATAGAGCAGTTGAGGAAGCTTGTTACGTTTTTAACGGGGCTTGTTTGCCATCGAGTGCTTTTTCTTTGTAAATATCTCTTTTTCACTTCAATAATAGATTAATAAAAATGCAACTTCTACCAGTTATTTTGTAAATGCATTTTGTTTGGTTACCATGTTTGTTGTGTTGGGTTTTTTCTGCTGCTCTGGAAAACTTTTTCATGAATTCTTTTGAGACTGCCGTTTTCATACATTCTTTAAGGTAGCATAACCTTGGAAAATACATTGGTACAAGTGTTTGGTAAAGGATTCTGAAACGTTGGAAAATTATTGCGTTTGGAACATTGTTTATGACTTGGCCCCCTCAACAAAGTAGATCGATCAGAGATTTATCGTGCTTATAATTCGAGTTCCAAAATGTTTTTTTTTAATTTCACCGTTGGCTGGCGGAGGAACTTGTGGAAGAGTCAGGAGACATATTTAGTCACACTTAGGACATATATTCTGTGCGTACAGAAGTACAGGTTTCTTCTGGCGTTGATAAGCTCTATATGCACATATATCATCTCATGAAGAGATACAAGCATGGTCTGCTACGATCTAAAATCAGAAGAGAATGTACAGGCCCTGAACACCACATCCATTGTTGCCAACTGGAGGTAAGATCATGGGATTCATGGTTTCTTTGGTGCAACCAGTGACACCTCGTTTGCTATTATGGCTCCCCTTCCTTTTGCCATGTAAAGGCCTACATGATGCATCAACAACTGCCCATAAAAACATATATATTCTTTAGTGAGGACTGGTGGGTGGTTTTTTCTGTAGTAATGGAGTCTCTTTGATGATGAAACTTAATGCTCATTACCTGGGGATGAGCTAAAGCACCTTTGGTGTTTCGTGCAACATGAAGAGGAACATCAAAGGTAGCGCAGCCATGTGAATAGACTATGACATCCTCCAGAGGGGCAAGAAATCCGCGGTTTCTGGCCGATATTGTTGAACAAACAAAATCCAGCACACAGATGTCTGTGCATATGCCCACTACCAATATCTGCATTAAACACATCATACCAAAATATTAAGTTACATACGATCTTTGTAAGTTTTTGTTCGTGTTCGTTGTTATTAAACAAGCAGGAATGATGGCCAAACATAGGTTCCCATTATAGTGAACTTATGAGCTGACATGATGACTTGTAATGCAGGAGAAAACACCTACTCGATTCATATGGACTTACAGCTTTTATGTGATTGTTCTTCACCCAATCTACGAAAACATTGGATCCATCATCCTTGATTGAGCCGAAGAATCCATCAAAGCAATCTTTGCGTTGGATTGTAACATTCGGTTCATTCTCTATAAATTGCAGTGCTGCACTTTACGGAACAAAGCAACATGAGAAAGCATATAATCGTGCATATACTGCATTTGAAGGCATATAAACTTGTGCCCTATATCAGCTGTCAATTTCCCTCTTTTTTTTTCTTTTTCTTTTTCTTTTTTTTCCAAGGAGCTAGAGTAAAACAGATGCATGTAGAAACTAATGCTTGATTATTGGAAAGAGAAGGTACTAAGAGAAGCTAAATACCAGGAACCAAATTGGTTTCTTCAGTGCCAGCAATACAATGAGGAGGGTATGGTTCCTCAGGCTTGTTAGGTTGATGTGAATCAAGGAATGCCAGAACAGGCAATTTCTTGTCACAGAACAACCTGGCCAGCCTTGCTGATTCATTGATCATTCCTGTAATCTGCCTGTTGGGTTCTCTTGGAGCCTGTGAACCAAATTTGTAACCTTAAACAACTCGATAGAACTTCAGTTTGAGTATGAAAAAGAAACAAAAGTACGTAGCTGCTACTAGTTATATACAATCATGTAGAATAGTTTTGATTAAAAGTGTCAAAACTACCAGATTTCCAGCACCAACAGTGCAAAAACCATTGATGACAACAACAAGAACAAGAACAGTTGCATCATCTCAGGCAAAATCACACACTCTTGCTTGAAAGGAAGCTAATTTGTCAAAACATTAAGACATTGGGACAGCATGTTTTAATCAACTATCAATTTCACTTCCCACCAGCACAAAATTGATCAAAATGAATTTTCCACATCCAAGGATTTTCTTTTCCTTTTCTTGGTGCCCATGAACAGAGTATGGACAACCACAGGCATAACACACAAAGGTCTGATAAAAAGGATAGATTCATACATGTCTGTCCAACTATATTCCATGACATAATTTTCTCCTTTCTTGATTTGATTGCACAGTTTCAACTGTCAATTATACTATAAATTGGTATTTAGTGGATGTTTTGTTTGACAATACTCACTATTCAGGGGAAAAAATAGGAGAAGGGCATAAGATATTGGCTTCCCTCGGGAGGTTAAAACACACGCACAAAGAAAAAGATGGCACCTAGTTATAAAGGCATGAGAACATGTATGGTAAAGAACAGACTCGAGAGAGATTCAGTTACCAGATTTCCAGCACCAACAGAACAAAAACCATTGATGATATCAACAAGAACAAGACCAGTCACAACATCTTCAGGCAAAACCACAGACTGCTGCTCAAGAGGAAGTTCATTTTTCAGAAGATCAACAGTTTGAGACACCATTTGTTCTTCCCTCACTGGCACAAAAGCACAAACAAAAGTGAAAGATGAATCTTACTTTGAAGTTTGAACTGCAAAGGTGATGACAGAAAAACAGATATTTTGGACAGCAGAATCTGGACTTGATGTCATATTCCATCTCAAGCGTCCATAAGTTGCCAACTATCTATCGCAGACAAGGCAAAAAAAGTATGATTAGATCATCAAATACGTGCTTGTTCGTCCAACTGGATTATATATATATATATGCAGATAAAATAATATTTTAAATTAGATTCCGTATCAATTAAGATTAAATTTACCAATTTCAAACCAGTTTTTACATCATATTACCTTAAATTAATTGTCACATCAACTAAAATTAAGTTAATCAATTTCAAATTAATCTTAACATCAATTGAAATTAAGTCAGAACAGTGGCATTGTGTCATCACTTTGTTACCAATGATTAGTTATCTATAGCAAGGTGACAAATAGGCCTAAACCCTCTAATAGATTAGGATCTCTTCCTTCATCCCTCACGCTTGCCGACAATGTAGAAACCCAATACAAGAGTAGCCTTAGGATTACTGAATAATAGTGGTTCTTACTTGGGCTATACTTAATGGTCTTCTTTTATTCGGTGATTTTTTTCCTTCTTAAACATGATTATAACTGCATAACAGAGAAGGTTTGGATTAAATTTGGATTTATATGCTAAGGAATATAAAATTTTATCTCGATTCATACTAAAGGAGATTGTTTACTGGGATGCACATGCGAACTTGCTTGCTCTTGGCAATAAATTAGAAATAGGAGTTTACAAAAAAGCCAGTATGTTGGTGGGAAAGAACCCAAGAAAAACATCACCAAAAATCTTAGCTACCCATAAATACAAAACAAAGCAGAAAAGAAGGGTAAAAACCTCCAAATAGACACATCTTCACAAGACTACTACAAACATCAATACACACGGACTCAATTCCCAAGCCAACGAACAAGACACCTTTGCCAGCACTTGAACCCGACGCAAGCAAGAAATCTCTCTCAGAAAAGCAGAAACAATCATTCTACAATAGAAGTAGCTCGAAACACGATTGAGCATGGCATACTAACACTGGCAACAACACAAACTGGAGCTATAATATTGACAAAAGCAACACCCAAAACTCTTTACACGAGAAAAAGGGCCTACTTCAACTGTTAGCACACTGCAGCCAAAACACTCTGTATGGAGTTCTTATATTGTTGAAACTGCATCCAAATGAGCAAAAACATAAACCCTTTCAGTTTAGCAATCACAGAAAGAAAATAATTCCTAGCCAATTTGAGCAAATTGCTTATATTAATTTGATAACAAGCATGCACACAAAAAGAAATTCATGAATGGAATCAATGGTGGTGCACCTGGTCTGCAATCTCTTCACGTTTTTGAACTAGCTTTTGAATTTTAGCCGCACCAGATTCGTTTACCACGTTAATCTTTGAAGTTATGGCATCCACCTATTAATTGAACCAAAGAAACTTACATAATATCGAACTACTTCAGATCAACATGAGTTGGTTTAGCAGTATATGTAAAAGTACCTCTGTTAATACAGCTTCAACCTTCCTTTGCCTTGCTTCTAGATCATGCCTCCTGGATTCCACCTCCGACTTGGTATTATTGAATTCTTTAGTAGCTTCCTCACACTTCAGATCTCTTTCTTTCTCTAACAGCTTTTTTAAATCATTCAACTGTTGTGCTGGGAAAGGCAGAATATGCTATCAGCTCCAGTGCATTCATTCAAATATAAAGACACCAAATTAACTCAAGTTTTATAAGAATCTACCTTTCATTTGCAATTCAACAAGTTTGGCATCAAGCGACTTATCGATCAGTCCATCATCACTGAGCTTAGCTTTTACAGCCTTGTAGTCTTTTTCAATGGATTTGGCAGAATTTACCTATCAAAATTGAAAATTACACCCTGAGGGTTTGTGAATTATGTCCATTCATTTCTTAACTAAACAGATAACACTCAAACAAAAATAAAAAAGCAATCTGCACTATTAGGTATTTACTGATACAATGATAAGATATCCTTTTCCTCTTGGTGGTCATAGAGTATTCCAAATGAAGCTGTTAGGCCAGAATACCGAATTGCAGAGTACAAAGTCGTTGCCATGTACTCACCTGTTCATGAATTGCCTGCATCTGATTGAAGTGCTTTGACATTTTCTTAAAAGCCTGAGAGTAGAACATAAAGATACCAGTAAAACTTTGTGCAGCTGATTATAAGAATAAGAATCCAGTAAAAAATTCTGTAGCTAATTATCCAACAGGCTAGACACAGGAAACACCATCCAAGTAAAATAGAGTTAACAGCAACAAATGTACTTCTAAAATTTGAAAAGAATAAATGGTTGGAACCTCATAGTTTGATAAGCATTCAAGAACCACATCCAATTTGGCATTTGAAGAAGAAATATATAATCAATTAGTATGTTGAACAAAGCCTGTGGAGCTCGAATTTCATGCCATTCAAAATCATTTAACCAGATGAAATATCTAATTTTAGAGTCTACCTCAAGAAATATTACAATATCAACAATTAGAAAGAAACTTCGAGGAAAACAAACAATGCAAAGCAACTAGACTGCACTTTCATAAAAATGTAATAAGCAAACTCCATCAGACCAGCCAAGCTTAGCAACCCTTGAAGGTAACATAGCAGTTTATGAAAAACTACCTTTGTATAAACCTCAAGTACAGCAGTCTTAGCCTCAAAGGATTGCATTGCCAATCTTTCAGCATTCCTTGTCTCTTCTCGAACTGATTTCTTCTCCTCCAAAGCCCTCTTTTAGCCCATGCAAGGATTATTTGCAAGTCAGCAAGGAATCCAAAAAGAAAAAAAGTGTGCAAATAATGAAAACAACAATCATGAAGTGTAGGATGCAAAAAGGCAGCTAAAAAAGCACTAAGAATCATTGAAAAGACAATTTGTCTTTTGTTCATGAGATTGAAGAGCATACAAGCACTGTGCTGGGTCATGTATATCATCAAATAAAGGAGAAGCTTACTGGTTGGAATCTCCCAAAGTAGGAAGAATTAAGCTAAATATGGATGGAGCAAGCAAAGGTGACCCAGAAAGGGCAGGTGCAGATGGCTTACTGCAAGATTCTAATGGTACATGGATGGCTGGATTTGTGGTCAATATGGGTCACTGAGATGCTAAAAGGGCAGAACTGTGAGGTGTTTGTATGAGTGTGGAGTTAGCTCATCAAAGACATTGCAAATACATTGAGCTAGAAGTGAGTTGGTCTACCATGCTTTACAAGGGCGACAAGGTTTCCTGCAATCTAACCCATTAGTGCAGGAGTTTAATCCTTTGAGGAGTGTGTGATTGGGAATCAATTTAATTCAAACATATCGGTAGGGAAATAGACCTATTCCCACATATGCAGTGACTTAGGAAACTACTTTCATCAATTCCAAAAGCATGACCTGAAGTTTTTCCAACTTCCACTGAGGCAAGGATTGCCATTTTGTGTAACCAATGAATCATTTAATGTCTTACTAGTTAGCTTACACCATTATAATGTAAAGTAAGGCCATCCTTCCACAGTTGACTATGACTCCTATAGTTAAATAAACTTCACTAGAGAATGCATTTTGAATTTGGGATATTTCAAGTGCCAATGTAGCGGGGACCTTAATATGAAGAAGAAAAGATACCTGTAGTTTATCTGGTGATTGAACGATTTTTGAACGTAAGTTCGCATTTTCTTGAACACTTTGTACCAGGTCAAACTCGGCCCTCGAAATCTGAAAAACAAAAAGATGTATTATCTGTAAGGTAAGCCTGCATATACAGATGTTAAAAGTGTCCATCCCGCATGATTAAATTAAAAAATGTTTCTGTTACCATTCAATGTGATATAACATAATAATATCCAGGCCAAGCACAAAATAGAGAGTATTAAGGGTAAGCACATCGGAGTGAATATCGAGAAGTTCCACACATAGCACAGATAACACAAATCTTCAAAGTTTATGTTAAGCAGCTGGCACAGTTGCTTTTACATTTAAATTATAACCTCAAATCAATCACAAAGCAAAGCAGCCTATAAATTTACAAAAGTCTATTTACCACATCAACAAACAACCGACTTTCAACTTCCTTACCTCCCCATCCATTTCTGAACTCCTCTCCTTCAACTTCCGATAAGAAGCTCTCAGAGACATCTGGTGGTTGTTGAGGTCAGCAATCTTTTGGCGCAATTCTTTAACTTTTCCATCAACCTCTTGAACAAGCGGTAACTCTCTCTCTCTAGCACCATTATACTCCGTAATCTCCGCATTCAACTGCATAACCCAAAAAAGAAACATTCAATTAAAATCACACAATTCTCAACCTATTCAGTTACTTAATTATGACAATTACCTGGGTAATTTTATCCTCCAAGTCTCTTCGCTGCTCGTCAAGAAGCGTAAGTTCCTCCCCTAACGGTCTCAATTCATTCATTTTCGTATCTTTATGAAGACAGAAATTAAGAATGGCACCGATAAAAAACTGAGTGCGATCTCCTTGGGGTTTCAAAAGATCTCTGAGAGTAAAATCAGCAGGACACTGGAGCAATGCTATCACCTGTTTTATCTTGATATAATGGTTCATAGTCCGTGCCGACCCGACATGATATTGTGGGTTCTCTAGCTGTTCCAAAGCTGAAAATTCAATTTGTCCTTCATATCCGCTGCAAGTTCAATTAATTTATTAAAAAAAGGAAAAAAGAAAAAGAAAAAGAAAAAATTGATGACGACTTACTCGTGGAGAAGATCGAGGTAGATTAAGAGACGGGTGTAGATGTCGGAGACGAAATCAGGGGTTGGATTCTTCAGGTCCTTTTCCATTACGGTGGCGATTTGTGACTCTGCCAGGATTGATATGATGTCCGTAGGGCTAACTGTCGGGTACTCGAATTTCGACATTTTTCTTTCTTTCAAGTTTTAGGGATTTCTTTTTTCTGCAACTGAGTTGTGTTTTTGGTGGGAGACTGACACTGACTGGGTGTTTGAATTTGGGAATTTTGGGGCTTTTGGTTTTTTCTATTTTACAAACCTAACAAATGGTCCCCAATTATTGGGTTCGTGTCATGTTTGCCCCATTAAAATATTGAGTTTTCCTTTTGCCCCTAAACATTTTCATTTCTCAATTGGGGTCTTCTGTTACTATTTTTTAATAGAAAACGTTAATTTTTCTATAAAAATAAGTTGTTTCTTACAACAATTTGGTTTGAATGGACGAAACGGATATAAAAATTTAAGGGAAAGCAAAATTGAGATTATATCAATAGTTGGAAGCTATTTTTTAGGTTTTGTTTTTACTGTTTTGGTTAGTTTGATTTTTAAACGATTTGTTAGAAAATGGCAATTAAATATGGACTTAATGTATAACATTCGAACCGATTTAAAAGAATAGAGTTTTTATTGATACTTATTATTTTAGATGAAGTATGAATATTTAAAATCTTTAATCATTGGATAATAAATAAGATATAAATATTATTAAATTCAATCCAAACGCAATCTAATATATATATATATATATCCGAAACCTAATAGATTGTATATAAATATCTAAATTTTTCATCTACTTGATAAAGAGTAGAATATAGATGCTCAAAACCTCATAGATTGAATATAAATATTCAAAATTTTCATTCGATAAGCAATAAATAATGTATAAATATTCAATTGTTTAAACAATATATAATGAATAGAATATGGATACTTAAAATCTGATTCATAGATATTCATTGCCATTCCTAGTTTCTATTCACTTACTATCTCCAATTGGATGGATTGGAACATAGCTTTAATTAATAGAAGAATTTGATTAAATCTAAAATTTGTTCAGGGACTGATTATACTTTGATCAATGGTTAGGGTGACTGGGCTCCTTTTACCTTTCTCTTTCTTTTCAAATTTTCACTGATTATCTCTTTCATTTTTCCTCCCCATTCCTGCTTCAAACCGTCTAAACCAAGAACCCCTGATCCATTAAATAATAACAATAATTAAAAAAAAAAAAAAAAAAAAAACTCTTCTATTATCGCCAATGATACCATTCACCACTACTTTTCCCATCAAATCAAGCTCAACTTTTCCACTTTAAATATGCAATCATTCATCATACCCACACTACCAACTTCACTCTTTCCTCCAAAAACCCTCTCCTTCCCTTCAAAAATCAAATCTTTCCCATCAAAAAGTTCAGTTTTTGGTGAAAGTTGTGATCTTTCTAGGCCCAAAATGGCTTCTCTAAGTGGGTTTATTGTAAGATCACAAACGGGAACTTCTTCAAGTTGTGAAAATGAGTTTTCTACTTTGAGTGAATTCATGGGGAAGGGAGGGATTGGTGTGAGAGATGAGTTAGTGGTGTTGTTTGATCATATGCAGTATGCTTGTAAGAGAATTGCAGCTCTTGTGGCTTCTCCTTTCAACTCTAATCTTAGTAAACAGAGTAATTTTGCTGGTGGTGGCAGTGGTTTAGGCAGGGATGCACCAAAACCTCTTGATATTGTCTCGGTACGTCTATCTTTTGTTGCTCTTTTTGCCTTAATGATGTTTAGAATTTTGTTTTATGTTTTTTGATGAAATCTAACTAGTTAAGTTGAAAGAAGAAAATAGGGCAAAAAGCTTGTGCCTTTATGGTATATATTGGATTATAAGGTCCTATATATGAGAGGGTTTCTTGTTGGGTTTACGGAACTAATGCTTCTTGCATCATACACGCCAACTTTATTGAGCAATGTTGGAGTAGGGATCTTTAGATTTCATTGAAATTAGTATATTTGGCCACTGTTCTTTTTTTTTTTTTGATGTTTGATTATGCCTTTATAGTATGTTGCATTCTAAGGTCCTTAATATTTTCTGGTCATAAAAGTTTATATGGTGGAATTTTAAGTTTAATAGGGAAATGTTGATTGTAGCATAGATTGAACTCAAAAATGTCACGAAATGAATTAATGGTCTTGAAGTTCCAACCTCATCTCTTTAACCAGCATATAACAACTAGAAAAATAAAGTAACAGTTTGATATATGTATTGTGTTGCGCAGAATGAAATCATCTTATCATCTCTTAAAAATTCTGGAAAAGTTGCTGTCATGGCTTCGGAAGAAGATGATGATCCAATTTGGATCAATGATGATGGTCCATTTGTGGTGGTAACAGATCCTCTTGATGGATCTAGAAATATTGATGCCTCCATCCCAACAGGAACAATTTTTGGGGTATACAGACGCCTTGTTGAACTGGATCATCTACCCCAGAAAGAAAAAGCTGTGCTGAATTCGCTGCAAAGTGGAAGCAAGCTTGTAGCTGCTGGCTATGTTCTCTATTCATCAGCCACAATACTGTGCACCAGCTTTGGTTCTGGAACGCATGCATTTACACTGGATCATTCCACAGGAGACTTCATTCGGACTCATCAAGACATTAAGATTCCTCCTCGAGGTAATATTTGTGATTATTACCATTTTGAAATTATTTAGTGATGACAGCCATCATGATAATTTGGTTACATCGGCATCCATGTTTGTTAGAACAGAAACAGATGGGATGTTAATTTTTGTTATAGAAGCCCTAAGATCCCATTATGACTGCTGTCTACCATGCCAGGGCAAATCTATTCTGTAAATGATGCACGATGCTTTGACTGGCCTAAAGGATTAAGGCAATATATTGATACTGTTAGACAGGGGAAAGGCAGATACCCCAAGAAGTACTCTGCTCGTTATATATGTTCTCTTGTAGCTGATTTCCATCGAACGCTGTTGTATGGTGGCATAGCAATGAACCCAAGGGACCATCTTCATCTAGTCTATGAGGCGAATCCTCTTAGTTTTCTTGTTGAGCAAGCTGGGGGCAGAGGTTCTGATGGTAAAAGCAGGATTCTTTCTATGCAACCAGTCAAATTACATCAAAGACTGCCTTTATTTTTAGGAAGTCTAGAAGACATGGAAGAGTTAGAGAGTTATGGAGATGTTCAGCAGAAATTAAACCCTGGATATGAAGTTTGATTATACACTGTTCCTTCAACAGTTGTGATAAGAATTAACTTCAGTTGGTCTGCTGCTAGTATACTGTTCATTGACAATTTGCAACTTTTAAGTCTTTATCAACCGTTCCAAATTCTGGTTGCTGACAGTTGCATTGCTCCCATCTTTCCTACCTAATTGGCAAACATAGCTTGAAGAGTTTTGGCATGAAAGATTGGAAGACCATGCGGGATTTAATGTTGTTCCTTTTTGACTTTCTATCCTTTTCCTGTTGGAAGGGTCAGTTTTTTGTATTATAAGTGCATACTTCTTCTTGTACCATTAAATCAAATGATCATATTATTGAAAATTCTTGTATAAAAAATCATGTCTTGTATAAGAATTCCACCTCTGACTTCATGGCATTTTATCAACACCCATATCCTTTTTATTTCACTTACATAGCATAACTTCCTTGCTGATCTCTGGCTAATTTTGAATGTTTTATTTAAGGTTGTCCAATACTTGCACAAGGCAAAAAAAAAAAAAACCCACGGATTTTGCTTCTTGTTGATCCAGCCACTTAAAAGTGCTTGATGAGCTAGAGTCAGGCAGGTTGGAGGTTCGGCTATCTACAATGTTTGGCAGAAGCAAACCCACTGGTACAACTGGTTTTTGGTACAGTTCTTGAACTAGGCCCAAGTAGTTTTCTTCAAACTCATAACAGCTTCGCACTGCAACAAAGTCACCGCCCTCCAGATTTCTAGACCACCGATGGCCACTAGACGTGCCTGATTTGTCAGGAATATACACATTTTGGAACAATATCTTTGCCTGGTCCGGTTTGGAGGCGACTAGAGATGTAAAAGGAAACCAACTTGGTGGTACCCTGAATTCTTCAAGTTTTGTTCGCAGGGTGGAGGACCCTTGCTCCGCTGGTGAACCAGCGAATGCCAATTTAGCAGCTGAGAATACACTAAAATAGACAGAAGGCACATTGAGCGTATCAGCAACTTCCGGCATCCAGCAAGAGGCGAAGTCATGAAGTATCAAGTTTGGTGATTCATTGTGCAAGAGGTTCTCGATCGGTAGTTGCAGCATATCATATGCCTTATTCAGACACTGTACTTCTTGTAGTTGCAGATCAGCAGTTGCCTCGCAATTTTCTGGCAAGCCATCAGCTGGTGGTAAAGGGATTGCCACCAACTTTAGGCTGTCTGTCGAATTTGTAGGAAGAGAAGGAAGCCTTTGAATATTTCAAGGGGTGGAAATTAAATGAAATATACTTTTCACACCCTTTTCTGCTAATTGTTTGGAGAACTCTAGAAATGGTAGCATGTGACCAAATGCCAACCATGGGAACATCATCCCTTCGCGCTGTTTCATTGCCATGGATGCTCTAAACCAATAACAGAGTAACAATAAAGGTGATTTCGTGCTGTATGTAAGACCCCGTGTTTAGCTTGATGCTTTCTTCGGTGTTTTAACGAGGTTAAAGTTACTTTAAATGGTTGCATTAGTTATATGCTATTCTGGTTATTGCTTTAGTATTTGGACATTTTACTAGGCAATCAGGTTTTAATCTAGTGGAGATAAATTGTGGGCTGGATAATAAATTGCAAGAACTTAATTTGATTATACAACTAGTTGGACGAAAAGACTTGAGTCTCTTGTGGCAAAAATGAGCTTTGGAAAAAGAAGAAGAAGAAGATTAAGAAGAAGAAAAGAGAGAAAGGGAAGAGTCAGATTTCTGAAGTATAAATTGTTTTCATGACAAAACAAATCCTTTGGATGAAATTTTCAGCCTTTTCATAAGCAAGGATACAAGGTGCCTTGCAAGATCACAGATTTTTCATTAGATTGTGTTGTTTTCTAGTTGGACACACAATAAAATAAAATAGTGTAAATTCAGATACCAATCTTTATTTATATTATTCTTATATGAATAGTTTTATATTACTCTCTAACAATACATTACATCCAATCTTGAACCATTCAAGCTCGCCAAAAATACTCGTCCAGCTAGCTCCCAATTGGTGATAACATTAATTGATATATTTTGGGAATATACAACATCGTTAATTAGTGTCGGTGAGATCGGTGTTGCTTGATTGTTATGAGGAGAATGATACAGAGTGCGTTTTGACATGAGTCATATAGAGCGTTTCACTAAGGCTTCGGAAGTATTTTGGCAAGGAAGAAGTCCGATATAACCAACAACCAACAACGGGAATATTAAAGAGTAGCTACAACAACAATTATTCCTTTTCATTTGCATTCGTTTTTTCCGTTATTACTTTTCTATTACAGACTTAACTACAAATACGTATGGAGATTTTTCCTTTATTATTATGAGAAAAAATACAAAAATAGTTTCTCTTTTCCCTCCCAATTTCCGGACCTCTTTTCCTCCGAATTTGATCTTCCTCTCTTCTCTACATCATTCTTTGTTCTTTTTCGTTAATCCGCATCATTTGATATCGAGCCATCACTCCTCGGACGATGGCAAAAGGAACCCGTCTTCAAGAACTCCCGCAAAAGCTTACTTCTCTAATGGAGGAAGTTAAGCAACGCTAAGAGAACAGACTCAACAAATCCATAGATGAGCTCAAATCTTTGATTAGAGGACTCGATGTCCAATGTAGGGAAGTGCTATCTTCCAAAAATGTTGAAGGAACCTCCCAATCCATTCAAAGAGATGTTGGAGACAAAAGAAACACTCCTTCCTCTTACGGATCGTCACACAAGCCGGAGTTCCCGAATTTTGATGGTGAGGATTTTCAAGGTTGGATTATGAAAGCTAAATGCTATTTTGAAGTAAAAGAGATTCCCCCTCACATGAAGGTGAAGGTGGTCGCCTCTCAACTAAGTGGAAGGGCCCTACAATGGCACCAAGGGTATGTCAAGCTTCATGGATTAGCTGCGTATCGGGATTGGAAACTATATATACGAGCATGGAACCTCGTTTTGGGGCTCCAATTAATGATGACCCTTTGGTCGACCCGAGAAACTTGAGACAAACAGGTACCTTACAAGACTATATTGATGAGTTTGATATGATTTATCCATGGGTCGAGATATAGGAAACTCGAGTCGTGAGTTTCTTCATTTCCGGTCTTGTTATCGCCCTCTAAATGCCCTAAGAATGTTTAAGCTAGCTTCATTAATCGAAGCCTATTCCCTATCTCGGTTACAAGAGCTTACTATGGAGGCTCTTCAAAACCCCCACCAATCTAATACCTACTCCTTTATTCCCAAGATTCTCAAAACCATCTACACCAACCTAGACTTTACTCGAGAAACCCAACAAACAAACAACCCTATTCACTCAAAACACTAGTATCTTGCCTACATAAATATACCAAAACTCACGAGACCAAGTTAGACCTTATATCCCCCTACCCTTATAGAAGAACCTCAAGTCTTTGACCAGCAAAAATCTTAATGAAAGAAAAGCTAAGGGTTTATGTTTTTGGTGTGATAAAAAGTTCACAATAGGGTACAAATGTGAGAAACAATCGGTTTTAATGTTTCAATTGCAAGTTGATATGAATGGAGAGGAGGTTGAGGAAGAGGAGTTTGAAGACTATCTTATGGGTTACAATTTCCCATTGTCCCTCCATACTTTATATAGCAATAAAAGGGAGAGAACAATGAGGCTAGAAGATTACTATGGAAAGAATCGTTTGCATATTTTGGTGGATTTAAGTAGCACCTATAATTTTATTATGTTGTTGTTGCTCGTAAATTGTGAAGTGCTTGAAAGTTGAGGCGAGTGGTTGTGACGAGTTGTAAATGGTCATTCCATCGGGTGTGGTGCCATGGTTCCCGAGTTTAAATGGAAGATACGAGTCGGTTGTTTTCAACGGATGTTTTCTTACTACCTCCGGATCGTTATGATTTTATTCTAGGAGTGCAATGGCTCTCTTCATTGGGAGACATCTTGTAGAATTTTAATGAGCTCGGATGGTGTTTTGTGTTGACCAACAACCTTGTTGTTTGAAGGGAAAACAAGAGGGATCTGTCAAACTTGTGAGCAACCACGAGTTAGAGAAAATACTTATTCACCCTTCCGAGATAGCTACCCAACACTTTTTACTTACATTAAAGCTATATGCTATAACTGGAAGCAATTCTTAACCGGAGCAATCATAGCCCCAACTACAAAACCTACTTAAGCAATAACCTAAAGTTTTTGACAAAATTATCACCTTATCCCCACACCGTGACCATGAACACCGAATTGAGCTCAATGAGGGATCCAACCCTATAAATATAAGACCATATAGATATGTTGGTCTTCGGAAGGATGAAATTGAGAAAATGACTTACGAGATGTTGGAGGTTGGTATCATACAACATAGCAAAAGCTCATTTACAAGTCTTGTAGGTTTGGTAAAAAAGAAAGATGGGTCGTGGCATATGTGTGTGGACTATCGAGCTCTTAATCATGCCATCATTGAAAGCAAATTTCTTATTTCGATTATTGAGAAATTATTGGAGGAGTTGGGAGGTTCAATAATGTTTTCCAAGATAGATCTACGATCGAACTATTGGCGAGTAGAATGAATCCAAGAGATGTTTATAAGATCGATTTCAAAACTCATGAGGGCCATTATGAGCTTTGTTATGCCTTTTGGACTCATTAATGCACCTTCTACATTTCAACACTTGATGAATGGTGTTTTTTGACCATTTTTACAAAATTTTGTTCTTATTTTTTTTGATGATATTTTTGTCTATAGCAGGACTAAAACAACGCATCTTATTCATTTGATGATAGTTCTTAAGACCTTTCAAGATTACCAGCTATTTACCAAGATGAAGAAGTGCTACTTTGGATGCTCATAAATTGAATATTTGAGGCATATCATCACTAATGAGTGGGTTAAGACCGACCTTAAAAATATTACGACCATCCGAGATTTGCATCCTCCAAAAACTATCAAATAGTTGAGAATATTCTAGGGACTCACTCGGCTACTACGGGAGATTTATTGTTAATTACGGGAAAATAGCTCGTCTACTTATAGACTTGCTCA